CGAAACAATCACATGTAAACTACAGCACTTGCTCAGAACTAACGAAAAAAATCAAATGTCAACTAAAGCGCGCACTTACTAACGAACTAACGAAACAATCAAATATTAAATACAAAGCGCGCAAAGAACTAAAGAAACAATCAAATGTAAGCTACAGTGCGCACATAGAACTAACAAAAAAATCTAATATTAACTACAGGGCGCGAAGAACTAACGAAACAATCAAATGTAAACTACACCGCGCCCTCAGAACTAATGAAAAAAATCAAATGTAAACTACAGCGCGCACTTCCTAACGAACTAACGAAACAATCAAATATTAACTACAGAGCGCGCTAAGAACTAATCAAACAATCAAATGCAAACTACAGTACATGCTTAGAACTAACGAAAAAGATCAAACACGCACTTAGAAGTAACCAACCAATCGAGTGTAAACTACATAGCGCGCTCAGAACTAACCAAACAATCAAATGTAAACTGCAGTGCGCGCTTAGAACTAACGAAAAATATCAAATGTAAACTACAGTGTGCGCTCAGAACTAACGAAAAAATTCAAATGCAAACTACAGCACGCACTTAGAACTAGCCAAACAATCAAATGCAAACTACAGAGCGCGCGTAGAACTAACAAAACAGTCAATTGTAAACTACAGCGCGCGCACTTAGAACTAATGAAATAATCAAATGTAAAATGCAGTGCGCACTTAGAACTAACGAAACAATCACATGTTAACTACAGAGTGCACTAAGAACTAACGAGACAAGGAGGTGTAAACAACAGAACGTACTTAAAACTAACAAAACAATGAAAAGTAAGGTACAAAGCGCGTTTAAAACTAACGTAACAATTAAATATTAAACGATGGAGCGCGCTTAGAACTAACCCAACAATCAAATGTAAACTATAGTGCGTTCTTAGAACTAACGGAACAATCAAATGTAAACTATAGTGCGCGCTAAAACTATCGCAACAATCGAAAGATAACTGCAGTGCGCCTTTAGAACTAACGAAATAATCAAAAGTTAAAGGAGAGGTACTCTAAGAACTAATGAATCAACCAAAGTTAACCACAGAAGGCACTCAGAACTAATAAAAAATCAATTCCAAACTACAAAGTGCACGTAGAACAAACGACATAATGCAATGTAAACTGCAGAGCACACTTAGAACTAACAAAACAATCAAAAGTAAACTACAAAGCGCACTCGGAACTACGGAAAAAATTAACTGTAAACTACAGGGAGTATATAGAACTAAAAAAATAATACAATGTAAACTACAGAGCACACTTAGAACTAGCGAAACACTCAAAAGTAAACTATACAGTGCGCTCAGGACTAAGGAAATAATCAAGAGCAAACTACAGAGGGCACTTAAAAGTAACGAAAAAATCAAGTTTGAACTCTAAATCTAAACTACAGAGCGTGCTTACAACTAACGAAACGGTCAAACGCAAACTACACAGCCCACTTAGAACTAACGAAACAATTAGAAGTAAACTACAGCGCGCGCTTAAAATGAACAAAACGATAGAAAGTTAACTACAGAGCGTGCCAAAGACTAACGAAACAATAAAATGCAAACTACAGAGCGCGCTTAGAACTATCGAAACAATGGAAAGTAAACTGTACAGGGCGCGCTAAAAACTAACAAAACAATCAAATGTAAACTACAGAGCGCACTTAGAACTAATGAAACAATCAAATATAAACTACAGAGCGTGCTTACAACTAACGAAACAATCAAACGCATACTACAAAGCCCGCTTAGAACTAACGAAACAATTAGAAGTAAACTACAGCGCGCGCTTAAAATGAACAAAACAATGAAAAATTAACTACAGAGCGTGCTAAAGACTAACGAAACAATCAAATGTAAACTACAGAGCGCGTTTAGAACTATCGAGACAATGGAAAGTAAACTACAGGGCGCGCTGAAAACTAACAAAACAATCAAATGTAAACTACAGAGCGCACTTAGAACTAATGAAACAATCAAATCTAATCGACAGAGCGCACTTAGCACCAACAAAACAATCAAAAGTAAACTACACAGCGCGCTTGCAACTAACCAACAATCAAATGTAAAGTATTTTGCGCGCTTGGCTGCAACGAAACAATCAAAAGTGAACTAAATAGCACACTTAAAAGTAATGAAACAATCAAAACTAAACTACAGAGCTCAGTTAGCACCGACGAAACAATCAAACGTAAACTACACCACGCGTTTAGAACTAACGAAACAATCAAATCTAATCGACAGAGCGCACTTAGTACCAACAAAACAATCACAAGTAAACTACACAGCGCGCTTACAACTAACCAACAATCAAATGTAAAGTATTTTGCGCGCTTAGCTGCAACGAAACAATCAAAAGTAAACTAAAGAGCACACTTAGAAGTAATGAAACAATCAAAACTAAACTACAGAGCTCATTTAGCACTGACGAAACAATCAAACGTAAACTACACCACGCGCTTAGAGCTAACGAAATAATGAAATTTATTACACGACTCGGGCAGTCAGAGGGCCAATAACTAAACTCAACCAATCAAAATGCTCTATTGCCGGTCAATATTCTCTCAGTATTGGACCGGGCACTGTCCCGAATGGTCCCGAATGATACCGCACTTGTGTCCCTTTGAACTTCAATCGTACAATAAATCTCTTATTAAAAAAGCTTGCTCGGGACCGTACTGGAAGAATATCGGCCCTCGGTCTTTTTTGTACAGACCTCGCTGCGCTCGGTCCGTACTGTCAAGACCTCGGGCTGATATTCTCCCAGTGCGGCCCTCGCGCTTGGTCAATAAGATATATGTAGACTACAACACGCGTTTAAACTATCGAAACAATCGAAAGCAAACTAAAGAGCGCGTTTAAACTAACGAAACAGTCAAAAGTTAACTACACAGCGCACTTAGAACTAAAAAAACAATCAAATGTAAACTACAGAGTGCACTTAGAACTAATGAAACCATCAAATGTAAACTACAGAGCGCACTTAGAACTAGCAAAACAATCAAAAGTAAACTACCAAGCGCGCTCGACGGAACTTACGAAACAATCAAATGTAAACTACAGAGCGCGCTCAGAACTAACGAATCAATTAAAGGTAAACTACAGACCGCGCTTAGAACTAACAAAACAATCAAACGTAAACTACAGAGCGCGCTTAAAACTAACGAAACAATCAAATGCAAAGTAAAATGCGCGCTAAGTATTAATGACACAATCAAATGTAAATTCTGAGCGGGCTCAGAACTAACGAAACAATCAAATGTAAACTACAAAAGGGCGCGCTTAGAACTAACGAAACAATCAAACTTGAACTACACAGCCTGCTTAGAACTAACGAAACAACCAAATGGAAACTACAGAGCGTGCTCAGAGCTAAAGAAAAAATCAACAGTAAACTACAGAGCGCGTTCAGAACTAACCAAAGAATCAAACGTAAACTGCAGAGCGCGCTAAGAACTAACGAAACAGTCAAATGTATTCTACAGAGCGCACTTAGAACTGACGAAACAATCAAAAGTAAACTACAGAGCGCACTTGAAACTAACGAAACAGTGGAAAGTAAACTACAGAGCGCGCTTAAAAGTAACGCAACAATCAAATGTTAACTACTGCGCACGCTTAGAAAAAAACAATCAAATGTAAACTACAGAGTGCGCTTAAACTATCGAAATAATCGAAAGTTAACTATAGAGCGCGCTAAGAATTAACGAAACGATCAAATGTAAACTGCAGAGCGCACCTAGAACTTACGAAACAATCAAATGTATACTACAGAGCGCACTTAGAACTAACGAAACAATCAAATGTAAACTAAAGAGTGTCCTTAAAACTAATGAAAGAACCAAACGTAAACTACAGAGCGTGCTGAGAACTGTGGATACAAACGAAAGTTGACTACAGAGCGCACTTAGAGTTAACGAAACAATCAAAAGTAAACTACAAAGCGTGCTTCACTTAACTTAACTACAGAGCGCGCTAAGAACAAACCTAACCTTGAAATGTAAACTTAAGAGCGCGCTTTGAACGAACGAAACAATCAAATGTTAACTACAGTGGGGGCTTAGAACTAACATAACAATCAAGTGTAAACTACACTGCGCGCTCAGAACTAACTAAACAATCAAATGTAAACTACAGAGCGCGCTTAGAACTAACGAAACAATCGAATGTAAAATGCAGATCGAGCGCACTTAGAAGTAACGAAACAATCAAAAGTAAACCACAGAGCGCGCTTAGAACTAACGAAACAATCAAGTGTAAAATGCAGAGCGCACTTAGAGGTAACGAAACAATCAAAAGTAAACTACAGAGCGCTCTTAGAACTAACGAAACAATCAAATTTAACCTGAAAAACGTAGTAAGAAATAACATAACAATCAAATGTTAACTACTTAGCGCGCTTAGAACTGACGAAACAATCAAATGTAAACTGCTGAGTGCGCTTAGAACTATCATGAAATACAGAGCGCGCTTATCATTATCGTAACAATCAAGCATAGCATACAGAGCGTACTTAAAACAAACGAAACAGTTAAACATAAAATACGCTCGCTAATTACTATTTGATTGATTTATACTATCTTCCTTCGGCATTTTTTTTGTTACCTAAGATAACAGTTCATAAAATGACCGTTGGCTTAGAAAAACTATTTGCTTCGAGCGTCAAACGACCAAACACAAAAGAACAGGTAAGTTATTAACGGTCAGTTTAGTTCATTTGCGTCTAATTTGTGAGGAAAGGGACAGGCCAAGCCGGTAAAATGCAAAGTAAATGAAAGGCATCGTAATCAAAAGAAAATTAATAAAAGGGGCAAGTTTCTAAAGAAGCTATGGTGCATAAAATATCAACTCAGTTGATAAAACCAAAATATCCTATTCATAAGATGTTTTCGATTTTAAAATACAAATTGCTTTTCGATTAACACTTTCAACTTTCCCTCATTATTCTTTTATTTTCTTATTAAATGCTAACACCTACGTGCAGTAGGTTTGGGGAAGGCCACAGATGGCCCCAAACTTCGACAAAAACCGATTTTCCAGATCAACAACCGTCTCTCCAATCTTGTCATCTTTTCCAATCAGATCATAGTCCATCACTGTGACACACAAGTCTTTAGATATTGGGATGTGGGCTGTCAACTCAAACATCCTTTCAAAACAATAACAAAGCGTAGTGTAAGTGGGTGTTACAGCTCCAGTGCATAGAACGAATTTCATGGACTATACTGGGTAAAAGTGGGTGTAACGACTCGAGCATATAGCGCGAATATCAAGGACTCAACAAAGAACTGTGTCTCTAATGAAGACGGCAAACAATACCATTAGCAGAGACACTTCTTTGTTGCGTTATTAGCTTGCTTTGAATTCACATTTTGCTCATTAGCAACAGCTTTTTGACTGCAAGGCTGTGCTCTGATAGTTTCTGAATGCCACAGATGAACCACTTTTGTCTTTGGGCAACTTCTATTACGTTACTTTGCCAAGAGGTTTTAAAGGCAGGGCGTTTCAGATTCTTGAGACAAGAACAATCAGGCACTTCAGTGATTCTTCTCAAAGCACAGTTTTGCGTTGTTTGTTTGTTTTGTATGATTGTTGGTGGACTGATTAAGTGTTCGCTTATTTACTTTTGTGCTAATTTACTTTTCGTTCCTTTTCTTGTTCGATTTCGTTTTCAAAAGAATTTTTTTTTAATTCTTTAACGCTTTAGCCGCTAAGATTCTTAGCTAATATCTCCTTAGAGGGTCACCCCTGATTCAAACCTCAAAGACATGAGAATAGAGGAAATGATCGCCAAACAAAGAAAACTCTTGCTAATATATTAATCCTCCTTGTCACTACCACAGGAAATATACAGAAAACAGTATGGAGAATATGCATGCCAGTGATGCTGTGGAAAGGGTTAGGAGGTTAAGGTAAAATTCCCAGCAACCAGCCACTTCACATGAAATGGTTTGTCACTAAGATGCAAAGGCGAACAGCTTACTTTCCAAAGACAGGGTTCAGTGTGTTGGGAATGTACTTGTCTTGATCCTTGATCTTAGTTTTACCGAGAGATACGATCAAATACGGATCAGCCTGTTGGAAAAGGATAAGATAATTTCAATCACAGGAACATCACTCAGCTTTTAAAAGATCTTACACATCCTATAACACACAAAAAAAACACAGATGTGATGCGACTGAAAGGTTTCACTCGAGAGAGGTAACACCAGGTTACCTGGGAACAATTGCTGCACGGTGTAAGTTGCGAGTCCCGCAACTGAGCAAACGCTCTAACGAAACGTGAAATTATCTGTCTGCACCAAGGATGACGAAGATTTTATCATAAGGTGAGAATACATAAAAGCCCCCGTCTCTCCCTCCCCTTCCCCACCTTGTTTGTCACTCTGATTTCATTCAACCTTGCAAATCACATACGAAAAAGAAGAAATACTCACTAGACCATTGGGATCCATGGGTTGAAGGTCAATAGCCTAATGTAAAGAAAGCAAAAGACAATTGAATGTCTCAAACTCATGATCGAGTACACCTTAATGACAAGAAAATAAAGCTATTACCAAAGCTATGATGTCCATAATGTTCGCTTAATAAAAGATATTATATATACAAGGCTAAAAGATTAGGAAAAAATTATTAAAATGTTTAAACCAAACGTTTTCTGCTGTTTGCCATCATCAGGGTTGAAAATAATGACCGTCCGTACATACATAAATATCTTATGTGATTCCCGATGGAAAAAGTTTGGAGACATAAGAAATAACTTGTTTGTTCAAACTGGGGCGGAATTGTTGCAAAACACTTGCGGGAAAATCCATCACATTCTTTCTCCTCAGCAGAAACATTCCACAAGCGTAGGATCGTCGAGGGGCTAATGATCCAATCCTAAGGGATGTTCCTTACCATCGTATTGGGTTTTTATCGGCGAAGCGGACATACACTCCCTAAAATCTGTTCTCATCTGGCGACACGCATTAAGACGAAAATATTTCATAGAACATTGGTTTGATCGAAAACGAGGAAGGAGGTCCTAGTTGCATTATTCTAAAGCGCTCTCCGAAAAATAAGCTATAAACCTAAACAAGGCGTCTTAAAACTAACCTTTATGACGTAAATTCTGACCAGACATTCAACCGGTTCGCTGGGAGGCAAGTTTCTCAGGATACGAGGTGGCAGGGGGAGATTTGGGTCGCTTGGTAACGGGTAGACATGAAATGCTCCCTAAAACCGCAACAAACACAGGTTTGGTCCGAAAGATATCTATTCAGTTCACCTCACGACAAGCCGACATCAAACTGGCCTGTTTGGCATCTCGTGTCAAACCTGGGCTCGAGGACCGTCGCTCGAGGTTCACCCCCTCTCAATTTAGCGTAAGTACCTTAAATTCGCCAACAACTGTGGCGTCCTCTCCGGGTTTAGCTTTTCCACGATGAAATTCAAATGTCTTCACCATGTCTTGGAACTTTTCATAAACGTCCACTTTTTCAAGCTCTTTTTCGTACACCTAAAAAAGAAACAAGAACAACAGAACGAACACATCCACCTGTTATTCTTCTCACTGATCATGATCAGTTATTTTCATAATTGAAGTTAAGCACTGATGGGAGAACATTGTGATCATTAACCTAAAGTATGATGCTAGACGTAACCCCCCCTCCCACCCCTCCCCTCCACTTCCCAAGATTATGTTAGACTTCTCGAACATCGGATTTTTACTCCTGAAGGGGGTGGGGAGAGGATGTGTCTTACAAAGAATATGACGCAATTACCCCGCAGGGCTGAAACTCAAACTTCTTCAACCCTTTAACTCTCAAGATCTGATTGTTAATTCTCTCCTCTGGCCTCTATACATTTTCTTGTAAATTAGTAACGAGAATTTGGTGTTAGATCAAGATAACAACTTCTCCGTAAGAAGTGCAAGTTTGAGTTATCTCAGGACCTATTTGCTAGATAATGTATAAATACTAGTAGAAAAAGTTACATATTACTCACTCTTGGGTGTTAAACTGAGGGTGAAAAAGAGCAATCAAAATAATGCATTTCCGGCAATTTGTGAAGTAAAGCACTCTCTATAAAACCCACAACGTATTTCCATAGCAGAATTAACATTGGAGGTGCCAAACGTGGGGTGTTAGAAAGTGATAACACTATGGACGAGCAACAATTATTACATAATAACGTACAATAATCTTGTCGTAGCCACGCGCTATGTAATCTCCGCATTTATCGTAATCACCCAGTGAGGCGTAGTACTTGGACCACCAGTCAATGTCCTCTTCAACCAATTCCTGCCCTCAAAAATAAACAGGATTAAATTATTTATCAACAGACCTCAGACAGAAAATTCAATAACTTTTTCTGTAAGCGGCTGTGATGGTGTAGGCTATCCTACACGTGCAGTTCAGCAAAGGATCACAAAGAGAAGTATAAATTCAAACAACATTTTCTCGTTCATCTCACCGTTTTGTCTCTCTCGTCAGCGATGTCAAGTAAGAAAGAACCAGAGTCTTCATCTTTGGCTGCATCGGCTGCGAAGAGAGTCAAATGTACCATTGAATGGTTTCTTATGCCAAATGATTACAGCTATGAACCACGTTTCAAGCAAACTTCAAACTTGAACCACAAACAATTCCCTTTCGATAGTAGACACTTGTAATGAGATTTGCTTTCCCATCGGTACACTTCGTTGAGAGAAAAATTTATCCAAAGCAAGAGAAAATTTAGTAAACGGAAAGAACAGATTATCTTTTAAGAGACAGAGAGATTTGTTTGTTTTGTGTTTTTGGTTTTGCAGCTGGCTCTCCCTCTCTCTCCCTCTCTCTCTCCCTCCCTCCCGTAAAGAATGGACGGCATATTTAAAAGATCAATCAAATTTACCAGAAGTAAGCTAGTTCGTCTCGCCTTAGGGAAAATCTTACTGGAAGAAACCTCAACTGGAGGGATCATGCGTCAAAAAAGTGAGGTGCGACTGAGGTGGCAGCTGTTACCCACTGGGGAAGTATTTTCCTCCTTCAACACCAACCTTCATCTTCACCCACATCGTTATCGTCGAGAGGCAAGCACCTGAAGGGCTGCAGTGACTTGATGCAGTGAACACCAACAACAGGTCGACGGCCAAACGAACGGTTATCCCGCACTTTGATATTCATGGGTGGAGTATAGAGTTCCTCTTTAGGAAGGTACTAAAATGGAGGGGAAAAAAATCATCCTGGATATAAAGGAGTTTTAATAATTTTTCCAATAGGCGTGATCAAGTTTCAGCCTGAATATCAATAATTAGAGGCATTTAACCGACACTAATGTCTTTGGAAAAGAAAGTTGAACAATCAAAATGGGATACTGGAAAAGTTGACGCTCGTTTGGGTCAGCCGCTGTATCTCTCTGTCGGCAAATACCTTGTTAAAAGTTATTCGGTTTTATCAACTGAGTCGATAATGTCAATTGCCCACCGTAAAGCTGACGCTTAAGCTGACGTTACGAGCGTTGGCCCTTTATCAGATAGAACACAGCCTCAAAATCATTCTGACACACCAATTCCTCTATTTGCTCTGACGAGGGGCTAACGCTCGAGACGTCAGCTTTGAAACTCTTCACGGTGGCCAATCTACATTATCAACTCAGTTGATAAAACCAAGTCATCTCGTAATACCTCCACCAACGCAGCATGACAGATTCTTTAGAAACCAAATCCCTTTTAACAGTAATTAAATACTAGAAATTCCAAATGACTTCATAGCATATTACGTTATCCTGGTTGATCAGACCAAGTATGACTAATACCCAACAAGAATCACATCTACAACAATAACGGTGATCCTAAGCGCACAAGCCAGGCCTTCCTTACCGTGTCAAAAAAAAACAGCGGTTCATCAAAGTTTGGATTTTTCTGAGTGTTCTTAATAGTCGACGATTGAATCACTTGACCTCCGCACTCGAACTCGATACTTGGCGAGGAGACATTAGCCAGCTGAAACTTCTTCATGTTGCGAACGCCCCAGCATAAGACCTGTCATGAATAGAGAAAAATGTAGGTGAAAACGAAATTGCTTAAGTTTAATGTGTAAACCCCCTCCGCCTGTCCTTCGAATGGCTCCACCACTTAAAAACAGAGCCATTGCTGTAGAGTGGTATGAAAATGTCGCCTTGCAAGAATTTTTATTTGTTAAAGGAGTATGGCTAGATGTCGTGACTAGTCTTGTGGATTGTCGAGTTTATGAAATCACTATGGATGTAAACAAAAACCTAAGAAACAAGAACTGAAGACATCAACAGGTAACAAGAATGGCAAACAATAAACCACAACTTGAAAAATTTGGCTGTAATTTTTTTTGAATATACAAATTTAGAGTGGACTATAGTTTCAGGTCTTTAAGTGATTTTCATCTAATTTCTCTTCACAATATCACCCCAGAATCACACATTAAGGTCAGGAGAACGCAGAAAATGATCACCAACAAGGCAGCTCTAGACTGCTAAATATATATATCTTATTAACCTAGCGCGAGGGCCGTACTGGGAGAATATCGGCCCGAAGTCTTGACAGTACGGACCGAGCGCAGCGAGGTCTGTACAAAAAAGACCGAGGGCCGATATTCTTCCAGTACGGTCCCGAGCAAGCTTGGTTAATAACAGATTTATTATACGACTGAAGTTCAAAGGGACACAAGTGCGGTATCAATCGGGACCATTCGGGACAGTGCCCGGTCCAATACTGAGAGAATATTGACCGGCTATAGAGCATTTTGATTGGTTGATTTTAGTTATTGGCCCTCTGACTGCCCGAGTCGTGTAATAAATTCAATTATCCTTGTCAGTACCATGGGAAATAAATACTTTATAGAAAACAGTTTGGAGGATATGCGCCCTGATGTGAGGATGTGAAGGGTTAAACGCGTTTCGACCGAAGAACCTCGGAAGTCAAAAGAATCTATTTGAGTTGATAAACAAACTGCGCGCTATAAAAAGTAAAGTTTACTAGCTTGCTACTAACATACATACACGTAGATTAGCGGTACTGGTTTTCATACCTCGATAGCTGTGCGCTGCACTGCTGGTCTGATTCCACTTGGTACAATGAACAATGACGATTTGTGTTCTTTGGTGGGCGGGAAGTAAGGTAAGTCAGTTCCCTCGTCCTTTTGAGTAGACAACAAATAAAACAAGCACATAAAGGTCTGTAGCATGCAGTTAACTTAGTTACACTCTTCCTTGACTTGAAAGGAAGAGAGCGAGTTCTAGCAGGACGTTTGGTCTACCAAGAGATACAACTACACTCGATTATTAAAGGCAAACTGCTACTAAGGATAACAAAAAATAAAACTCCTCACCAGACATACCACAACACTTACCAGAAAGAGCTCGAACGCAACCAGAATTTCCCCCCCATCTTCCGTGCCTTTTTCCACCGATTCCCAAAGAAGTCTTGGAGCTGGCGGTCCCTGACCATTTAGTTTAACAACAGGTGACTCCACAGAGCGACCCATAAACTCATCTCTACCCTGGTAAGTGACAACACGTATTAACATTGAAAAGAATGTTAAAAAAAATCAAGAACATTCAAGTTCGGGAGCTTAACTTCAATTCTCATAAGAGGAGCAGACCTAGCAGACTTCACCTCCTCTTCATTATGGATACGAACCCATCTGTTCCTCTTTTTCCTTCCCTTTGTCAATCTTGGACTCTTCCTTTCTTGTCTTCTTGACCTCGTCGCTATATTTGAACCCGTCTAATTACACTCGACTGATATGAACTGTTAACACGTCTGTGATGACGACTTCCGCTTAAGCTGTCGAAACGTTAGTCACTGACTACCACCGACAACAATCCTTCTTGGGACTAGGTAATTTTGGTTTTATCAACTGAGTTGATAATGTAAATTAGCCACCGTAAAGAGTTCCAAAGCTGACGTTTCGATCGTTAGTCCTTCGTCAGAACGAATCTACCCTCCAGACTACACTATCACATGCTACACTTGGGTTCAAACAATGAACTGACAAAATCAGGGTGAAGAAGGATCTATGAAGGGTATTCTTATATATACTACGCAGTAATGCATGCATAGAGATATCCTTTCCCCAGACAGTGACATTTAAGATACTACTCAATAGCACAAAGTTGTCACCATTGCCATCTTACCACAGGATCTTGATCAAAGAGTTCCAAGACAACATGTGGAGGTGAAGCCTCAGTGATTTCAGGACTGCCGTAGATGTATACATTTTCAAAGATAAGCGTCTGGTCCCAAGTGGGACATAGTGTGCGGTGAATGATCTCCGATACCTGACTCTGAGTACCAAAAGAAACGCGCACGTAGGGATCTAAATAGAGCAAATAAATTCCATTACTTAAGAAGTTGATTGAATCCGTGGCTCCGGTCACTTCGCCGATGTGTCAACTCGCCGTCACCACTGGTCAATTCGTCGACACTTAATTTGGTTTTATCAACTAAGTTGATAAAGTAAATTGGCCACCATAAAGGTTTTAAAAGCCCTTCGTCAGAGCGAACTGATAAAACCAAATTACCTTGTTAACCCTACCGACGCAGCACCACAGTTTCTTTAAAAACTTTCCCCTTTATTCATTCGTAGATACTTACTTTTGTTACTCCATTTCTTAGATCTAACAAGACCACTATCGGCCAGTCGATCTACGGTGCCGGCAAGTTGGTTGCAGGTACGTTGACACGAAGTGACAGGGAACCGAATGGAACGCATTTTCGTACAAATTTCCAACACTGTTACGCTGAAATTTCAGACTACACATATTTCCGCAATCAAGGTTTGAACACTCCCCATCTCCACTCTAGTTCCCAGGTGCAGATCACATTTAATTCTTTTGCTTCAACTAACGCTGTATCATATCACAATCCCTGAGGCTGCTGAAGAACTAACAATAATTAAAGTCCGGATATTTTGCCACTGAATCGTCCTTGGCACGTTAACTCACCGGACAATCCGTCGGGATCTGCGGGTAAAAGGTCCCGCCCTTGAAATAGGTACACTCTCAGCTGATACTTGTGAGGTTCTGTAAGACAACCACGGATGCAAACGAATGTAAACGAATACATCGACAACTGAGGGAAGGTCATAGGAGATAATCTGTATCAGTGAAAGGGGCCGACAAGTGTATATCATTACAAAATTCCTTGAAACAAGAACAAATTATTAATTTTTGTGGCTTAAATGTTCCGTGAAATATGAAACAAGTCGCCAAGGGCTGTAAAGGTTAGCTTTACTGTTGACAATAAACGAAACCAGAGTCGTACAATGATATGTAGATTATAGTTAAACATTCTACATCCCTTGGTAAATTATTCCTTTAAAACAATCAACTTGGTCAGGGAATAAAAAGGTATGCTTTTCTTCAAGTTGGATATTTTGGCTTTTCTCAGTGAAGGACAATAACGTGTAAGGAGAATTTACTTTTTCCAGAAATTTGTAGCTATGCGAAAGTTAAATAATGCATGAGCCATCTTACGTACTTTCAAATGTGATGAACATCCGAGGAACCATCATAATTCCCTTTCTACCCTGTTTAAAAGAGTTATTATTCTTCAGTTAGCATTCCACTAACACTCAGAGTAACTTCTGTCTGGTCCAGTCGAAAGCTGGCGACTATGACTGGTACGAACAAAGTTAATTGATCCAGATCAGAAAATTTTAGCCATCTCTGATTATATTAAATTGATTATAACAAGTTATCTTAAGTTCAGTTTTAAAGCCGCTAAAAAAAGAATCCTTGCTTCTTCTATCCGTAAAGCAAAGTTTCTATCTTTTATAAATTTAGTGAGGTTTTGCAGCTAGAAAACGGTTTTCAGTAAATAAAGAAAAGGAAGTCACACGAGCCAGACTGGAGCCAGATGAGAAAAATTCTGTGCACTTGTCCGCTAGACCATACCACCACAGCTTATCCCAATATCCGTGGTATTGAACGAATAAGCGTTTTGCTTCCTTCCCTTGATAAAACATTAACCCACCGCAAGCCACCCAACCCCACCAGACTCCCACCCCTTACTCCCTGTATTTCATCAGATATTTCGCTGACATTTGCCAGTACTCATGTATACACCTTGAAGGAGAGAAGTGCCTTGAGAGCTAGGTATCTTGTCCAAGAACAAAACATATTGACTACACCGGGACTCTCGATCTGATATCCAAGGAAACACTAACAACAACAAAGACTTTGGGTCTACTCAACATTGAAAGCACTCTTCGATCTACAAACCTCGTCCGAAATTTGAAACACAGCTGGCGCTGTTGGATCTGTTTGAACCATTTTCCGATGCCATCTTCGACGCCGAACCAAATCTCGTGTGCGGCATTTGCTGTGAAACTTTGATGAGAACACTGCGGCATATTCCCAGCCTTCCGTGTCGACCTTTTCCTGGCCCTACAGAACACAGATAATGCACTTTTATTATGTACACATACCGTGCGCAGTGAAAACACCATTTAGATCGACCTGCGTGAAGATGTCGATGTCGCCATGGTAACCGGATTCATCAACATGGCGGTTTTGCTTTCCACTAGAGGTTTTCTTTTAATTCACAATCATTGACTGATAAGGAGGAATTTAACTTTTTAGAAGAGTAAACTATTCTTGTTATGAATACTTGTTTTAGTCGTGGCGGGAGTTGAAATTTCTTTTCGGAGGGCTGAGTTTGGAGTGATGAAAGCATATCTTTTTCAAAGTCTGCTGAAATGATTCACTGTGTTATTTCCCTAAGATAATTCCCCAAGTTTAATATACAAGCACTTTTGTACCTTTTCTTCTTTGTCCGTACTCTTAACCAAGCTTCTGCTGCGAACCCATCTCCTTCTCCTCGACATGTGATAAGTTTTCTCCACTGCCACATAACTGCCCACACTTATGTCCACAGTGTATTCCCAACCTGACGACAAACGAAAAAAGTAACAGCACTGATATAAATTCCATAACAACAAGACCTTCCTCTTATAAAAGCATTCGTTCAAAAAGCTTCGACTTTATTTGGGTGAGACAAACGTTCACCAAGACCGATTGATCCTTTATACCCTAACATCAGTCTGCATATTCTCCATACTGTTCTTTTTATATTTCCAAAGGTACTGACAAGGAGAATTTGTTCAACAATCAAGAGTTTTTTTAGTTGGTGATCATTTCCTTTATTCTCCTGACCTTAATGTGTGATTCAGGGGTGATATTGTAAGGAGAAATTAGATGCTGGTCACTCTTAGGGGTCAAAGAGTTAATTATAGAGTAATTCACTTTGACTTCGGTCGTCGACTACAAAACATGTTCTCCGTTTTGGTTCCAGCGGGGGACAAAGAAAAAAGGTGAGTCTCACACGAGGAATCGAGCTAAAGACCCTCGGACTCTGCGCTCCGATCCTGTACCACTGAGCTACAGAGAACTCGATGGTGAGCTACGTCACAGAGAGCAAAATCAGAAAATTTTGCCTTCGATTCCTCGGGGCGACTCAGCTCAGCTCTTTCCTCTGTGACAAAATAGATCGTATCTCTCTTTATCAATTATCTTGTTACCGTCTTCGTCCACCGCCCTGTTGGTGTCAACGCTCCATTCTGAAGTCCACTCCCAGCCTTCAGGGGCAACTATCGAATCCTTATCAGTGGCAGCATTTTCGTGCTAAAAATAGAATGATTATAAGACGTGCTTATCCGTTTATGATAAATTGCAGCCGAGAGTGTCATTGTTTTTAGGAAGCTAAATGAAATTTAGGTAAGGCTGAAACTGCGGCAAGGCAGCGGTTCCACCAGTATGTTGCGGGGGGGGGGGAGGGGAGGCTTCAGGGAAGTTTGAAAGGGCATAGCGCTGTTCTTCCGCTCAATTTGCTTTGAAATGTTTCGTACTTCCTTTCCCTCCTTCCCTTCCATTTGAACGGTAAGTACTCACTCCACACACCTGTTGGTCGTTCTGGTGTTGACAAGTACACGGAGGAAGAATGAGGCTAGACTGCCACGGTGACCTCTTTCAGTTGCTATTCCCTTAAAAGCACCTACTCTACTCTACTTTTTTTTAAGACACAGAGAACTTGATTTTAAAACTGAATGTGGGGAATGTTCATCGAGGTTCTCATTTTCCGTAATCTACCCTCTTTGTGTGTAAAAAGATAGCAAAAGTTACGCCGCGAAACACCGGTGCGAAAGAAAGCAGGGACATTTTACCACATGATCGCACATCTTAAAAACATCTGCACTACGTTATACCAGTAAAAACGCATAAAAGCTCCATTGTATACATACCCACTGGAAAACATGACACTCTTTAGGTTTGCATATGGTGGATAAAGTTTAGCATTGGCATTGCTACAAGGTACTCACAATGTCTGTCCAATTCACTGACGCCGGCGACCAGTGTCCTCCAGGAAACCGTTCTTCGTTTTCAAACACGTCCTCCATAAAACTCTTACAGCCTGTGTCCTTTTCATACGCTAAGCTAAACCATTATTTCAAAGATCAAAATTATAGGAAACATGATATTAGCTAAACAGCAAACCCTCCTTTTTACTCGAAGTTGCTTAACCGAAAGGCGAACTGGTGAGCTATGCTTAAAAACGTTTCCAGTGCATCATTATGACCTCAGCTATAGCCTGTTCCAGGCCCTCGAACCGTGGAGATAGGAAAGGAACAGACAAGCGACAAACAGCGCTTGCGGTTGTCAAGGAAAACGGCTAACCACAGCCGTTTTGGAGCTCATTTCCTCCAACAGAGAGCCCGGGGCAGGCTATCCCGGCGAGAATTTCATGAGTTAGTTTTACAGCCGGAGTTCTAGTTAAAGCAGAGGTGCTCTGACCGCTGCAAGTTCCACGCTACCCCACTAGAACTGAAAATAACTAAAATACTCTTTATTTTAATGTAACCATTAGATTCTCTCTTGCCGTGCGTCTGTTGAGTATAAATGACAAACTGAATTACGCACACATTTTGATTGGTTCTTATTTATGATCTACACTTCTTTATCATTAAGAAAAAAGTCGATTCCAAATTGCCATACGTCTGTTCAGTAATAAAAGGGATGTCAGAATTTGGTGGGAACATCATTGACTCACGCTACGTACGCCCCAAGTACCACTTGCTACATTTTGACTTCATCTGTGATCTATTCAACAAATAGATTCCATGTTGCTGTGCGTCCGTTCAGTAAATAGAGCACAGATGAAGTCAAAATGTGGTAAGAAAAAAAGTGGCACATAGGATTTGAGCGTGTCGGTGAGTTCTAACCACATTTTGAAATCACCTGTGATCTTTAACTGGACAACCCCACGGCAACATGGAATTATGACCAATCGCGACCGACTTACGCCGCTTGATTCTTACAGCCAATAACATCACGGCAAAACTGACCAATCATTTTACACGAACTGGACTAAGAACATTCTACTGACAACAACTATTCACTTGACTCTGATGATGACTTCCGCACAGGTTGCCGAAACGTCAGTCATCACCACCGACAACAGTCCTTCTCAGGACTACACTCACCCGGACGATCGCACTACACTTTCACATGGAATATATTTGTTTTAAACGATAAAAGAACCAACTACTGTTAATGGTGACGCCATTTGTGAGTCTGTCCTCCAGTAGATGGTAAATAAGAACCAATCAGAATACATGTATCATGCAGTCTATCATATAAATTAAACACTTACAAATCACTTTTGGTGGTATATTTACTGTTATTATTTACTGGTATAATTAGTGATCA